ACGGCACCGGCACGGCCTGCGGACATTCGCTGTATTCACACGCTTGAAACTTTACGAAGTATTTTGAGCATCCAAAATACTTTGTTATAACAAACTGCTTTTCTTTGTAGAGCCTAAAAATGTTTGTAAGGTTTTCTCAGTGCAGTTAAGGCTGATTCGAGTCCTGCTCCGAGTTCAGCCCTAGGTCCAGCCTCGACTTTGGACCCAACTCGAGCACCAGAAATCACCATAAATGGCCAGAAATGTCATAATAATGTCAACATGACATCAAAGCGAGCGATTTCTGTCAGAATTTTGTCTTGCCGTTGTGAAAAGACTATCCACCCAGACCTCTTCCTCTTCCTACGTCGCTTGGAGACACAAGTCGGAGCTTAAATTGGGGCCGAACCCACGGCTGAACTGTGGGACTAGCTTCACTAAAGCAGTTCACGGTTATAAAAACGGTTCCTGGTTCTCGCTCACGGCACAAGCAGGGGGCCTCTCATGAGAGGGCTCTATTTGGGAATAGTTCCTCCCGGTTGCTGGCCAAATAGAGACGTCTGAATGTGCCTGAGATTTTCTGAACCACCCTGGAAAAAGGGGTCCATTTTCTAGGAACCGCCTGGGAATCTCGGGCACTGCTTTTGCCGTGTAGGATCCTCATGCAAATCACCTAAGTCTTTATTATAGGGTACATGGGGAAAACAGGATCCGTTTTTGCCATGTTCCTGGCACCCATGAGACTTTTCAGGTGTCAGGAACTTATGCCTTCTTTCACTTACCTGCTTTGCCTCAGCCCGGCCCGGCGAGGCCATGAAGACAACCGAGCACACGACCACTGCAATGAAGCCAATCGTCTTGCCTGGACTCTTGCCACTCAACTCCACGAAGGCCTAGTGCAGGTGCGCACATCCTCAGAAACACGTTTCTTGCTCACTGTACTCGTTTTTTTTAAAAAAAGTTCTTTCAAGGACCTGTATGAAAACTTCCGGTAGGCCGGCGAGAGATCTCGTGAGGTTTTTTGAGATCGAGATCTCACAAGATATTTCAGGACCCTGGGAAACTGTTCAGCCTTTTAATTTACCCTCAATGTCTCACGAACAAATTTCCCATGATTCGAAGATAATACCCGGAGCATGATACAAACGTACTTTGTCTTCGTGTAGCGAAGATTTTTCTTCGCACCTGTGCGGGAGAGTTTTTGGTTGTCACTTGGTGCAAATTTTGGTTGTGACAGTGACAATTTCAAGGCCAATTTTCCTTATCACGATGTAATCAAAACATTTGATGAGATGTCACGCCCATGCAGTAAGTGCCATCATATGCAAGTGATGGCCATAACTGAGTATCCAAACGCTATGAATATAGGGTCAATGGGTGCAATGCTTCTGCAGTGTACATGAAGTGCAATACCTTCCCATTCCCATGGATACGCATAGGGCATTGAAGAGATGCATTGCACGTCAGGTGTAATATGGCTATGGCATTGCACGTATGGTGCGAAATCTCAGTACATTGCACCACACGTGCTATATTAATAGCGTTTGGAACCTCAGTGATGTCACCAATCATTTTGTCACATAGTGACAACAAATGTTTTCAGTATAACAGTGAAAAAAAGAAAAAACAAACAAGAAAAGATGCGTTTTATGCTTGTACCGAATTTACAGAAACATTCATATTTCATTGCAAGGTATAAAGAGCTTTGACAACACTCGTTTTGTGCGCAGAAAAACGAAGCAACGAACTGCCGAAGTAAAATTTCATGGTGCGTTGATCTTGGTGAAGTCGCTTCGGTCCTGTGTTCTGCATTTCCTGGCCGACGCCGGACTGGTCTCCCCTCGTTGCTGTGCTATTAACTAAGTGTGTAGCGCCCCCCCCCCCCCACTGATGTTGAATCGATTCGCGGGTCAAAGTGATTCGTGTTGCGGCTGACTCAAGAACTCCCTCGGCCCCTGGCACTCCTTTCCTATCATCGGAATAGCCATGCAGATATCAAGCGTTTAGGTCCTCATTTGCAGACACTCTTAACGTACGTATTATAACACTCGGCGAACACTGGTAGAAAAAAATAGGGAGAAAGCACGGAACGTGCGTGGTCAATTTTTTACCTGGACCGTCCGTACCTTGCCAACCACGGAAGCTCTGTACATGTTTTCCGTACCAGTTTATATGAGATCCTTATGGAGACCACAGAGAACCAGTACGGAAGGTCCCATTTTCCGTACCAAACCACGAAATATTTTGCAGTAAACCTTGGTTAAGTAAAGCTAAAACGGTACAAGGCCAAACGTACAAAACTATATAGTAATTTAATGTGATTAAGAATGTCTTGGGGGATAATCGTGTTTCGCTTGTGATCACAATATGATATTTGAGCTTTGTTATAGGAAATTCGTCACAAGCAAAATACGATTTTTAATGTCTCCATGGTTCAAATGTTTTTGTGCTTTTCACACTGTAAAAAATTAGTTCGTAAATTTACAAACAATTTATGGGTAATTTCGTTGCACAAATTATCTGTAAATTTACAACGTTTTTTTTGTTTCTTGACGTTTTATGAATTATTCTTCACGCAGTAGTTTGTGAAATCACAAACTTTTTACACGCTCCAAATTACGTGGACCGCTTTTGTTCTACCTTGTCACGCTGATTAAATGGAGATTTACTTATTTCAGCGTTTTTGTTTTGTTTTATGAAACATCTTGTAAAATGATGAAGGCATCACCATATCTCGTAATTTTACAAGCGATTTGTGCAACGGAATAACCCAAGCATTTGTTGTAATTTTAGGAAACTTTTCATATTTTTTGGACATTGCTGTACTATTATAGTCACGTTTGAGATGTATTTCGTTCCTACGATTTCATAAGGCGGTGTTCACAAACAAATTTCATAAAATTAAGAAGATTTCTGTGATGAATAATTCATAAAACGGCCTCTACGAACAAATTTTATAAAATAACGAAATGTTATTGTTACTTTACAGGGAATTTGTAAAAAAAAATTTCGTAAATTTACAATACTTTTTTACAGTGTGCACTAAGATTCCAAAGTGTGTCTACCGAAGTACCGAAAACCGGCGTAAACTGAGTCAATATTTCACGAATATTGGGCCGCGTGTCTCCAAGACTTCTGTCACCAACCGAGCCCTAACTATGTTGAATTGCACATGGCTACGGGTTAGACACCCATGAATTTTTCGGGGGCCTACTTATATGGCAGGCATGGTCCTCTAAAGCTGTCTCAAGTTACCCCACTATCTGGGGTACCTTAAGACACACCTTTTCCCCTTTGACGGCTAGGGGCGGTTCACAGTGGTTTAAAATGCGATTTTCGGGGGAATAAGTCCTAGCAAGCGTCCCGTGCGACCAAATGCTACCAGAATTGAACTGAATCATCTGTAGGCAACAGGAAAAGACCAGTTCAAAGGAAAAGGTGGTCCGATAAAAATTGGATTTATAATCCTAAAATTATGAGAAAAATAGCAAAATTAGAAGAAAAATGACAGAATTCACAAAAAGTGCAAAACTTTAAAATGCTCAAAATACTTAGTTTTAACTTCTGAGCCGCATTAAACCATTTTGTTATTAAGAAAAACAATATATTTGAAAAGAAAAACAATCGCACTAATGTTTTTTTCATTTTGAATGGTGTACACCAGAAGCGATTGACCCCAAAACTAATCACACGTTTTTGTGGTGTTGATCCCCTTGCGTTTCGTGTTGCGGACGTATGCGGAAAAGTTATCGCCAGGACATGTTCATATACATGTAAGGGAAGCGCCTCGCACCAATAACTCCGCCCCATCGGGCCCCATCGATGTCCGAAACTCCAAGAGTGTGTTTTTTAATGTTTTGAACGCATTTGTAGCAAAGACCCGCCACCGTGAGCCAAACCGCGAACGAAATGTTGCGCTGTGTGCTGCTATCCTTTGATTAATGATGATACGAAAAGAAAAACACGCCAGCATACCAGTACCATCGCCCTCATTGGAATAATAAGGGTAGGAAACATCTAAGAAAATTAGGTAAATTTGATCAAAATACAAAAGACTAAAATCAAACCCTTCCCAGTGGCTCCCAGCGTCATATAAAAATCTATAAACGTCATTTTATATTGTATTGGAGTATTATAGTTCGTTTCCACCCCCCAGAATGCCCCCCGCGACACTTTTGAAAAATCGATTTATTCCCCCTAAAACAGGATTTTAAACCACTGTGCGGTTTCAATGTCATGATAGAATACTGTCATGACCCATGAGTGATGAAAAGATGTTTCAGGACAGAGGGAAAGAATAAAATTACGTTGTTGCAAAATAAATAAATAGTTTATTGTCGAGGCAAGCATGTACATGGCGCCAGGACGAAATTGTTGTGATAAAGTCAGATGCACTGTCAAAAGTTCATCATATAAATTTACCGATTAAGTTTAATCTAAATTTGGGATTTGAGACTCCGAAAATTTCCATACTTTTGCATTTCTCCATACTCTTACGGAGGGTGTCTCTCACATTTACCATATTTTTACGGTGATTAAACGCATTTTTAACGGAAAATGGCATTTTTTTGGGATTGCTTTCCTTATTTTATTTTCCATGCTAAAATGAACAGTGCCCTTAAGGTGAAAGTGATATTCTTCAAAACTTTTTGAAAAGTTACTTCACCACATGCCATTCAGATCGGATAACAGGGCGTAGAAAAGGAACGAACACACTGAAAATCAAATAGTGATACATCCCATTCTCCGAGGGGTGAGACATAACTGTCTCACGACATAACTGTCTCGCCGAAAAAGGGTGATACTAAAATGTATCACCGAAAAAATGGTCGTACACGCATGTATCACCGAAAAAAAAGGTCGTACAAGAATGTATCACCGGAAAAAAGGTCGTACACAAATGTATCACCGAAAAAAGGGTGATACGTCCCCAGGAAAACAAGGGCCAACCTCGCTGATGTGTACGACCTTTTTTGTCGGTGCTACATTCGTGTACGACCTTATCATCGGTGATACATTTGGTATCGCCGAAAATTGGTGACAAATCTCACCCTTTGAATTACAGTGCTACAGTGCAGTCTGCGTTAAATTTCCATAATTTTACGGAGTTTTCGACTGGTGAGCACAGCCTATGGGTAATCCTGGAAAGGAAACGCAGGGTGTGACTCAGGGATCCTGCAACACACAACAAGTAAGACATTCATTAAGACACTAAGAATATAACTGAAACGGAGAAGATTCATAAGAGCCTGCGGAAAATGTTAGGTTGGGTACGGAGCGCATTATGAAAAAAAAATTAACTGACTTTACAACAGTGATGCAAAGAGTGGAGTAGACACTTGGGTAAACAGTGCAGCAGCAGAGGTGTTGTGAATATAACTCAACCGCTTACCCCAAGAACAAGAAGCTGAGGATGCGGCCCGCCTTCCCTTTGTCCAGCGCGTCGATCTTGGCCGTGTCCTCCTTGCTCAGCTCCCAGTCGAACAGCGCGATGTTCTGCTCGATGCGTTCCTTGGACAGGCTCTTGGGGATGGCGCAGACGCCGCGCTGCACGATGTGCTTGAGCAGCACCTGCCCGGGCGTCTTCTTGTACTTCTTGGCCACTTCCAGGATGGTTGGGTCGTTGATCAGGTCAGGGAGTTTCATCCTGAAGAAGGGAACCCGAAGATAACAGGGACAGTCGAGCGGAAATGCGACAGGAAGAGAAGCATTTGAAAGCAAGTCGTGATTCTAAACGCTATGAGCGTATATCACGTATGGTGCAATGCACTGAGATATCGCACCGTGCGTACGTGCAATGCCATAGCCATACTGCACCTTACGTGCAATGCTTCCCGAAAATGCTCTATGCTCATACATGGAAATGGAAAGGCATTGCACTTTATGTGCAATGCAAAAGCGTTGTACCAATGGACGCTAAAAAGCGGTTGGACTCTCAGTGTAATCTTTGTGCGATATTGCCTTCAGATATTGACATCACGAAAATTCTTATTACATAACGTCTCTATTTCCATTATTTCCAGCAATCTAGTACCTTAAAGAAGCTGTCGTGAAGAAGAGCAAAAAGGGAAGTCAGAAATGAAAATTACTATGAGAAATACACGCTATAAGGGTGAGCTCCAGACCTCGATCGAGGTCTTAGGATGCATCCGCAGCGTGCAGTTTAAAGAAACTGTCATTTCTAGCCCGATTTTGTTTTTCCTCCAGGCCAGAGCCTCTATGAGGCGCCATCAAGATTTATACTGGGTGCGAACTTCTAGAGCTCCGGAGAGAGGTAAACAAAACGTTCGTCCTTTTTCTTTTTAACTCAAGCCCCGTTCGGTCCAGGAGGAATACCCTTAGCAATTGTGGACAGGGATGCCCTTACCTCATAAGGGCATCATAGCGTTATCGTAAGAGTTAAACTTATTACCCTTAACTTCTGACATCTTTTCAAAAAGGTTAAGTTATTTTTTTTGTGTTTCGAATTTGTGTAGAGATACTGTTGGAAGTACTTCCAAAAGTCCGTACCCTTAACCTTCAGCGAACATTATCTTATGTTACGTTATGAAAGCAGTGTTAGTTAAATGTTAAGTTAAGGATCCCTGATTGTGGAGTCTTCAGAGCACACTTTGAATCATGAAGACGACACCGGATGCTTACATGCCGCGAGTGAAGCTGCTCTGCGCAAACGCCTTGGAGCCAGGCGTGCCGATGGGGAAGTAGGCGCAGACGGTGATGCCGTTCTGGTGGCAGAAGTCGACGAGCGGCTTCTGCTGCATGTAGACGTGCAGCTCCACCTGCAGACCGATCACGATATATCGAGGTCCATACAATTTGATCCAGGAAGCGGAAGAAGGGAATAACTTGACTTATCCCCAAATTGAGTTTTTATTTTATTATTGTGCCTTAGAATGGTTTACATCATTACACCAAATTATTTGACTGAATTCCAAGCAGTTTAGGAGAAAATCCACATGGAAAAAGGGTATAACTCAACTTAACCCCTTTTACAGTCTAAATTTCATTGGAAAATGGAGATAACTCAACCTTAGTCTACATGAGTCCGTTTGACAAATTGGCAAAAGGATATAACTCAACTTGTGTTTTTATGAATCTAGTGTAAAAAGAATCAACTCAACTTAACCCCCCCTTAATTTTAAATTTCAATTTGGAAAAAAGAGCTAAGTCCAAAAAATACACCAGAGTAACATACACTTTATGCAGACTATTGTTCCACTTGACCTGTCTCCAAATTCCACTTTGTTTAGGAAATATAAGGTGAGGTGACTCTGTTTTCCATTTCAACGGAAAGTGATAAGTCGCAGAAATCCTCTACGGAGTGACCTTACACTTTTGATTTTTTTTCCAAAATTTTACTCATGCTTTTTGAAATTATTAACATCTGCAACATTCATTTGTTTTGTTTTAGTTTTCCCTGCTAACAGTTTTTTGTTTCTCCTGAAAAATGGCCAAAATTGAGTTATCCCCTTCTTCCGCTTCCTGGATCATTTATCGGGCTCGATACAATGTTCTGAGGTCGATACAGTGTTCTGAGGTCGATACGATGAAATAAGGTCGAAACGATATCATCTCCAATATCGAGGCTTGCGATATTCGCTTTTGAAGCGCATTGATCTGTCGATATATCGCGATACCACACTGAGAATCCAAACGCTATGAGTATAGCGTCAATTGGTGCAATGCAAAAGCATTGCACGTGAAGTGCAATGCCTCCCATTTCCCATGCATTAGCATAGGGCCTTTTCGGGAAGCATTGCACCAAAGGTGCAATATGGCTGTGGCATTGCACGTATGGTGCGATATCACAGCGCATTGCACCATACGTGCTATACTCATAGCGTTTGGAATCTCAGTGCACGATATCCCTCGATACTCGATATCGACACAAAATCTGTCAAAACCGTAGTCATGGGACTTTTTCTTGTCGACCCCGTGAATGATGCTTTTTTTGAAGCATCCGATGGTGATGCAATTTTGTGTCCGCCAGGCGGGACAAATTGTCTAGTGAAAGTACAATTTGCAGCAGGCGTCGGACAAAATGTGTCGCCTGACGGGACCAAAATTGTGTCAGCGTCGGATGTGCTTAAAATTGCATAAATCGTGGGACAAAAAAATTCCCATGACATTTAGTCTGCAGACGTCGCAATTATTATGGATCTGTATATCACGATATTGGGCCTATCGTGATTCAACATATCAAGTCCAAGTTGGATGTGGGGTTCACATCGCACAGCGATGTCAAAAGGTGGATTACCTGCAGGTTGGCGGGCTTGATGCGGCAGTTGTCCAGCACGATCTGGATGAGGCGCTTGCTGTAGTTGGACAGGCCGATGGCCTTGGCGCGCCCCGCCAGCACCTCGGCCTCCATGTCCCTCCACATGCCGGCGTGGTCGGTGTCGGGCTCGAACTGCATCGGCACGGGGAACGGGGAGCCGGCCGCGTCCTCCTTGGCGCAGAAAGGTACGTGCGCCAGGTACAGGTCCACGTAGTCCAGGCCGAGCTTCTGCAGCGAGGCCGAGAGCCACTTCTGCGGACCGCCTGGCTTGATGCCTGCGGCACGGACAAAACGGCACTGTTACTCGAAGAATGCGACGCCTGTTCGTCAAGATGTTCGTGTTGTCACTTTCGTGAATTATGCTAGTATGAAGTGTCTAACAAAAGTGAATGTTGATTTTGAAACACTGTGGCAAAAAGTAACGGAAAATTCTGTTAATTTTTTTGCTAGGATTCTCCGTAACCCTCTTATCAATATTCTCCGTAGGCTCTTACAGTATTCTCCGTAGGACCGCACAGTCTTCTCCGTAGGACGAGGAATACTGAATAGTCCTACGGCGAACACTGTAAGGTCCTACGGAGAATATTGTAAGAGCCTACGGAGAATACTGAGAGAGCCTACGAAGAATAATGACAAGGGGGCTACGGAGAATTACCACAAGCTGTTTACAGAATTTTCCGTAGCTTTCTGCTACAGTGAAGGACCAAAGAGCCGCTGAGCATCAACGTTCTAAAGCGTCGTGGAACGCTTCGGCCGGGCGTCCCTTTCAAAATCAGTGCACCGCAGTGTACTTCCTTATGGAAAATGTTCTGAAGTCGCATCGCATCCTCTCATCGTGCACCATTGTTAGTTTCGGTCTCGAGCAAAAGTATGCAACCATGAGAGAAGGAGGGCGCCCTTCTCTCCTGATGCTACTTGACACCTAATTGGGGCTTGCGGGAATAAGCTTCCGAGAAGTGACACATACATTGTGAAACGATCGTGCAATCTTACTTTTATGTTCAAGGATATAGATTAGCCTCGAAGGGATCTCTACGTGTACTTTCATAGGACACAAATCGCCTTTCTTTTTCTTTGATTGAATATTCTTAAGAGCGCCCTTACATACAGAGGAGGATACCAAAGGGAGGAGCACTCAATTCCAATTTTCCTGTTTCGCGTATAAAAACATAGGTGATATGAGTAAATCTTTTCTGATAAAAACTTGAAACGCCTGTATTGGGACAGTTTCGCTGACTGAAAGAGAAGGCCGACGCTCGAGTTCGGGTTAAAAATCTTTATTTGCGTGCGTGCGATTTTGCGTTTTCGCAATCCGTATAGATGGCCCGGCATATCTGACTGGGATTTGGCATGGTCGTGAGATATGCTCACAGATACCTTGATATTTCTAATGTGAAAAGTTTCATACAGTTTGCTGCGGTAAAAAGGCTAATGTGATTCCTTCAAATTATCCCATCTGTGGCAGCAATAAAAAATTATCGCATTAAAAATGCAATAAGTCACTTATGTTTTTGCCTGTCTGGCCCAGATGATCACAGTTTTGGTGTGATAAAATGATAACTACGCTAATAAAGTGATAAATGCGCTAATGCAATACAATATTTATTGCGCTTATAATGCAATAACTTTTTCATTGCGCTACTAATACAATAAAAATGTTAGTGCTTTTAAAATTAGTTCATTATTGCACTTAGAAAACCCTTGTTGTCGACAAACTTTAGTGACAATCTTAGCCCTTCAAGCTTGTCATAATGATTATGCGACTGACCTGAGCTTGTGTATAAAGTTCCTAAGGTCCACATCATAAGTAAATCTTCTTACTTCAAGAATGATGCGCCTCCCTACCTGCGGCGGGTAGCTTGGTGACAATGAACAGGTCCTCGCGCTTCACTCTGCCCGAGCTGATCCACTGGTTGAGCACCTTGCCGATGAGGGCCTCGTTGAAGTAGGAGGCCGCCGTGTCGATGTGACGGTAGCCAGCCTCCAGGGCCGCGTTCAGGGGCGCCTCCAGCTCGCCCTCGGCGGCCTGGGACCATGCAGAACCAGATCTCAAATTGCTGACGCGTGCATGCTCCAGGGTTGGCTCCAGGCGAAGTGTACTAGCAGGCATGCTTAAACCTTTGTATTACGAAGAAACAATACCTTCCCCCTCATTCCAAGTAAGTGACATCACGTGAGCAAGTGTCACGTTCGTTTGAGCATTGTGTCACATTCGTTTGGGTGTGAATCGGCCAAAAATTAGCTTGTCTCGGCTTGTTTACATTCAAACGAATGTGACACAATGCTCAAACGAACGTGACATTTTGACACGTTTGTTTCAACCAGGGGGCGGTAACACCATAGAGCAGGAGTGAGGCGAAGCTCTCGCTTCGTGCAGGGGTTACGGACTTCTTCGAGATTATTAAAACTAGGCCATTCACGGTCAGAAAAATTCGTACTTTTACTGCCATTTAACGATAAAGTCTCTACGAATCACGTCCGTAATTCGTAATTCTGCAACATTTACGGCCACAAATCGTAATTTCGGGTCCCCTTGGGTCTCCAACGGGTCCCGATGCGTCCCACTGGAGTCCCTGTGGGTCCCATCAGGTCGCGTGCGGTCCCTGAGTGGGTCGCAACGGGGTCCCTAAGCGTTCTGCTTGGTCACGTCGCGTCCCCGGTGGGTCGCGCTGGGTCTCGCTGAGTCCCTGTGGGTCCTACACGGTCGCGAGTGGTCCCGGAGTCAGTCCCAACTGGGTCCCAGCGAGTTCCACTCGGTCCCGTCGCGTCCCCGGTGGGTCGCGCTGGGTCTCGCTGAGTCCCTGTGGGTCCCACCCGGTCGCAAGTGGTCCCAGAGTCAGTCCCAACTGGGCCCAGCGAGTTCCACTCGGTCCCGTCGCGTCCCCGGTGGGTCGCGCTGGGTCTCGCTGAGTCCCTGTGGGTCCCACCCGGTCGCAAGTGGTCCCAGAGTCAGTCCCAACTGGGTCCCAGCGAGTTCCACTCGGTCCCGTCGCGTCCCCGGTGGGTCACGCTGGGTCTCGCTGAGTCCCTGTGGGTCCCACCAAGTCGCGAGTGGTCCCTGAGTCGGTCCCGACTGGGTTCCAGCGAGTTACACTTGGTCCCGTCGCGTCTCCGGTGGGTCTCACTGAGTCCTTGTGGGTCCCACACGGTCGCGAGTGGTCCCTGAGTCAGTCCTAACTTGGTCCCAGAAAGTTATACTAGATTCCGTCACGTCTCCATTAGGTCTTGCTGGGTCCCTGAAAGATCCCCGCTGGGTCCCCTTAGGTCCCAATCGGTACCAGCCAGGTCCCCTTAGGTCCCAATCGGTCCCCGCCAAGTCCTCGATAACTAGTTATCCGCTAGATGGCGCTAGTGTCGTTTTCACAGACTTACATCCCGGTTTCGACGACGGTTGGAAATTATATTGGACAAGATGACGACCTAGTCGTAACACTTTCTCGAGTTGGGAGATCAAGTAAGTATTGTAAGAGTTTTGAAATTAAATGGCGTGTCTTTACTCAATTCCTAAACAGGTCCCAACGAGGTCTCGCTGCGTCCCTGATAGGTCCCCACACGGATCCCCCAGGGTCCGCAACGGGTCGCCCAAGGTCCCCAACGGGTCCCCCAAGGTCCCCAACGGGTCCCCCAAGGTCCCCAACGGGTCCCGACCCGAACGGGTCCCCAACGGGTCCCCAATGGGTCCCCCATGGGTCCTCAACGGGTCACCAAGGCGTTCCCCAGGGTCACCAACGGGTTCCCCAGGGTACCGAATGGGTCCCCAAGGGTCCCGGATGGGTCCCCGAGGGTCCCGGATGGGTCCCCAAGGGTCCGGATGGGTCCCCAAGGGTCCGGATGGGTCCCCCAGGGTCCCAAATGGGTCCCCGAGTGTCCCAAATGGGTCCCCAAGGTCCCGGATGGGTCCCCAAGGGTCCCGGATGGGTCCCCAAGGGTCCCGGATGGGTCCCCAAGGGTCCCGGATGGGTCCCCAATGGTCCCGGATGGGTCCCGAAGGGTCCTGGATGGGTCGTCAAGGGTCCCAGATGGGTCCCCAAGGGTCCCGAATGGGTCCTAAATGGGTCCCCGACGGTCCCAAATGGGTCCCGAAGGTCCCGGATGGGTCCCCAAGGGTCCCGGATGGGTCCCCAAGGGTCCCGGATAGGTCTCCAAGGGTCCCGGATGGGTCCCCTAGGGTCCCAAATGGGTCCCCGAGGGTCCCAAATGGGTCTCCGAGGGTCCCAAATGGGTCCCCGAGGGTCCCGAATGGGTCCCCGAGGGTCCCCAATGGGTACCCCAGGGGCCCAAATGGGACTCTAAAGGTTCAAATGGGTCCCCCAAGGACCCATTCGTTGTCCCAAGGTCCAAAATGGGTCTCCCAGGGTCTCAAACCCATAGGGACCCTGGGGACCCATAGGGACCCATAGGGACCCTAGGGGACCCATAGGGACCCTAGGGAACTCATAGGGACCCTAGGGGACCCGTAGGGACCCTAGGGGACCCATTTGGGACCCTAGGGGATGTTGTAGTGGTATGAGATTACGTTGGCAGTACCGCCCAGAAGTCGGGTATGAGAACTATTCGTGTCACTGCCTTGTAACCCTGGTGTCCATACTATGCAACTAACCTATGAATAATAAATCTCTCTCTGGAGTGTTCCCTTTGGTCATTGAGTCTGAGTCTTTGTTCCTGTGATCCCAAATATTCGAGAACAACTATTCTGTTCAAGAATAGAACATGGCGCAGTCGTAATCGAATCTTAACAAGTGCTCTGTCATTGTGAGTAATAATTCTTGATCGGGAGATTGAGAAAAGTGAAAAAATCAGTCTGGTTAAACGGTGGTCTGGTCTCGCTACTTGCTTTGTGGCTTGGTGGTGGTGAATTCTGCTGAAAATGGGTGATAATCATCTAAAAAGCCCTGGGCCTGTCAATTTAAAGTCAGGTAATATTCAGAAGTCATGGGAAACTTTCAAGCAGAAGTTTGGATTCTTCTTAACCGCAATTGGAAAGGCTAAAGCGGCGTCGGATGTTCGATGCGCACTCCTGATGGGAGAGGCCGGGGATGAAGCTTTGGAGGTTTATAATGCCTTTAAAGATAAGCTGATATCCAAAACAACCAACGATCAAGGAGAGGAGGTCATTGAACATGACTATACAAACAACTATGACAAGGTTGTTGAGCAGTTTGACCTCTATGCGGCGGAGAAAAAATGCATTACGGGTTGTCGTGAACTGTTTAATGCGCGAAATAAAAAAAAAGGAGGAAACGTTTTCCAACTGGCTAACAGATTTGCGAAACTTGGTGAAAGACTGTGAGTACGCAACTATTGTTGATAGTATGCTGAAGGACAGAATTATATGGGTGTCTGGGACAAGAGGTTAAGAGACACTCTGAGATCCAAGTCAAATCAGAGTTTATCTGATATTATTGATCTGTGCAAGGCAGTTGAAGCTACGGCACGATATCCGAAGTTGAATGGTGATAACGATAATGCCCAAAATGTCGAGGCTATCCAGTCATTCAACAAAAACCGTAGCAAGAATGGCATTCCCTCTCAACCCTACCAAAAGAACAAAGGTGGAGGAAAGATGAAAAATTCACAGTACCACAACCGACCCGGTCCAGGCTATAAATCAAAGAGGAATGGATCACAACAGGGAGACAACAAACAGTTGTTTAAATACAAGTGCAGAAAATGTAATAGAGTGCATGAGGCGGGCAACTGTCCGGCTTATGGCCAAATTTGCTCTGCTTGTAATGGAAAAAATCACTGGGAAGTTGTGTGCCGTAATAAAGGACAACAAAATGCTGGCAATTTTAAAAAGCAAAGTAAGGTTGACAGTCTTGCTACTGTGACTAATCAACTTCAAGATTGCTTGCTTAGCTCGTGGACAGATGATGGTGCGAGTACCAGGTATGTACATATGTTAACTGCTGTTAAAAGAAAAAATGAAATTATTGTCAGTGGGGAGAGTAAAAGACCTAGAAAAGAATACACTGAGGTATTAAAACTTCAGGGGGTTCACTTTGTAAAATTTAAGTTGGATCCTGGGTCTGAAGTAAATATTCTGCCATTTCATGTTTTCCAAATAATTGACAAAGGGTATACTGTCAATCCCACTAACACCGTGCTGAAGGCTTATGGGAATGTTTTAAGCTCACCTAAAGGTACAGTAAGGTTGAGTGTTGAAACAAAATGGGTGGCAAAATGATTTGTGAGTTCCTACTCTCTACAATTGATCCTAGACCAATTCTTGGTATAGAAGCATGTGAAATTTTAAATCTGGTAAAAAGAGTTGAACATCAGTCTAAAGATGTGAAAACTGTCAAAGTGATGTCTCAGTTACTGCCAGAGTCTAAAATTGTGTTCCTAGAAAAATACAAGGAACTATTCACAGGTCTGGGTGAGTTCAAAAATAAAGTAAAATTACTGTTGATCCCAATGTTACACCTGGAATGTGCCCTCCTAGAAGGTATCATTTTTCAGTGAATGATAGACTTAAAACTAAACTGGAAAGTTTAGTACAAAGAGGTATTGTGGCCAAAGTTACTGATGAAATTCCAAAATTTGTTAGTAATTTGGTAATTAGAGAAAAAAGTGATGGTGATTTAAGAATTTGTCTTGACCCGGAGTTGCTGAATCAGGCAATAGTCAGACAAAAATATGTAATTCCAGATGTTGATAACTTGTCATGTCAGGTTAAAGACATGGAGGTTTTCACAGTGTTAGACCTGAAAGAAGGGTTTTGGCATGCTACATTGGATGATGAGTCAAGTCTTCTGTGTGCATTTGCTACCCCTCATGGAATTTACAGATTCTTAAAAATGCCATTTGGGTTGAAGTGTGCACCTGAAATATTCCAGTTTATGACTGAAACAGCATTTCAGGGTACAGGCGCAATAGTATATTTTGATGATTGTCTTATAGCAGGTAAAGACTATGAGGATCATGATCTAAAACTTCAAAAGTAATGGAGAAGGCCAAAGAGCAGAATGTTAGGTTTAATCCTGGTAAAATTCAGTACAGACAAAAAGAAGTAAAATTCCTGGGACACTTGTGGTCAAAAAATAAAACCAAAGTGGATCCAGAAAGAGTTCGAGCAATAAAAGCAATTAAAGAACCAAAAACAAAAACACAACTCCAAAAATGTTTGGGTATTTTTAACTATCTGAGAAAATTTATTCCTCAGATGGCTACAATTGCTGCTCCACTCTATGAATTGCTGTCTAATGCTGTTCTTTATAAATGGATGCCTACACATGCAAAAGCTCTTCAAACTCTAAAAGAAAGTATTTCGAAGGCCCCTGTCTTGGCTACATTTGATAGCAAAAAGCCAATTATAATTCAAGCGGATGCCAGCCAGTATGGACTGGGCTGCTGTCTCTTGCAAGATAAAAAACCTGTAGTTTTAGATTCCAGAATTCTCACTGAAACAGAAAAGAATTATGCTCAGATTGAGAAAGAAATGCTGGCTTTGTGCTATGCTGCCCATAAGTTTGAAAAATACATTTGGGGTATGCCTGATGTATTGTTCCAAACTGATCACCAACCTTTGATTCATATTTTCAAAAAACCTATTTACAAAATAACCAACAACAGGTTGAAAAAAATGAGGCTCAAATTACTCAGATTCCAACCTAAAGTTGAATATTTACCGGGTAAATATATGCATATAGCTGATTTACTGTCTAGAAATTGCCTGGAAGATCCTGTAGAGGATGATCCAGAAATGGTTGAGGTTGTACATGAGGTGACAAAATATATTGACATGTCACTCAATGTCAAGGCTGATCTGGTGAGAGAAACAGCAAACGACCCAGGTTTGTCAGCTGTGATGCAATATTACCAGGAAGGTTGGCCTAAAAATAACAAAGTTATTGTTAATGAGGTAAAACCATATTGGAAACTGAGAATGGATATCTTTGTAGAAGATAAATTGGTAATTCTGGAAGATAGAATAATCATTCCGGTATCGCTCAGGAAAAAAGTTTTGAAAAATTTACATACCGCTCACTTGGGTGTTGAGAAAACCAAAAGTAGAGCCAGGCAATCTGTGTATTGGCCAGGTATGTCAAATGACATAACCACATTTATAAAAGATGTCGGACATGTGAAAGACATAGTGCCAAAAATAAACATGAGCCACTAATTCCACATGACATTCCGCAATTGAGGTTCCAGAAAATAGGAATTGATATATTACATTTTAATTCCAAAGATTTTTTGGTTGTTGAGGACTACTTGTCAAAATGGTTAGAAATAAAACCACTGTCAAGTAAAAGTAGTAAAGCTGTAATAGATGCACTGAGATCTATTTTCTCTACTCATGGTAATCCACAAATAATATTTGGTGATAATAATCCACTCAATTCACATGAGTGTCATGAGTTTGCAAAAAGCATGGGGAGTGTGATTAAAACCAGTTCACCTGAATATGCTAGAAGCAATGGACTGGCTGAAAAAGGAGTTCATATTGCTAAACAAATGCTTAAAAAATGCAGTGATTCTGGTACGCATATTCTGGATGCTCTCAAGGAGTATAATAACACACCTTTAACGGGTATGAATGTGTCTCCAGCTGAAATACTTATGAGTAGAAAGTGTCGTACTTTAGTCCCAATACTAAACAAAAATCTCGAACCAAAAGTTGTGAAGGTTAAGCAAGTGCTAAAAAGATTGCAAGATAAAGTAAAATCTCAACATGACTTGCATGCTAACCGTAAACCTATACACTTTTCGCAAGGTGACAGTGTGGTTGTCAGACGAGGAAAGAAATGGCAGAAAGGGAATATAGTTCGTAAACTTTCTGGTAACAGAAGTTACGTAGTTGAACTATTAGGGGGAGGTCAGTTACGCAGAAATACATGGCATTTGAAACATTCTAGTACCAAACCGGACAGAGTTGATGCTAGAGAAAATAAAGAAATTGATGCTGATGCAATTCTCGCCAATATTAGAGCTGGTGAAAAGAAAGTGACCATTAACCCTAACCCTACTGTTCGTGCTGTTTCTGTTCCAGCAGCTCAAGGATTGATGACATTTGAGTCACGACAAACAACAAGATTTGGTCGGAAGATCCTAAAACCACATCGTTATGATGGGAGCTGTTAATAAATATTATTCATGTAATCAAATATATTACTCTGTATTTTTATATCAAATATAATCAACTTTTGTATTCTGCTATGTGTTTGTTTACTTTCAACGTAGAAAGTGTTGCCAACTGAATACTTTAGTGTCTCGAAGGGGGAGGTGTTGTAGTGGTATGAGATTACGTTGGCAGTACCGCCCAGAAGTCGGGTATGAGAACTATTCGTGTCACTGCCTTGTAACCCTGGTGTCCATACTATGCAACTAACCTATGAATAATAAATCTCTCTCTGGAGTGTTCCCTTTGGTCATTGAGTCTGAGTCTTTGTTCCTGTGATCCCAAATATTCGAGAACAACTATTCTGTTCAAGAATAGAACAGGGGACCCATTCGGGTTCCTGAGGGACTCACCAGGGACCCTTGGGGACCCATTTGGGACGCTGGGGGACCCATTCGGGACCCTGGGGGACCCATTCGGGACCCTGGGGACCCATTTTGGACCCGGGGACCCATTTTGGACCCTGGGGGACCCGTTTGGGACCCTGGGGGACCCATTCGGGACCCTGGGGGACCCATTCGGGACCCTGGGGGACCTATTAGGGACCCTAGGGGACCCATTCGGGACCCTGGGGGACCCATTCGAGACCTTGGGGGACCCATTTCGGATGGTGGGGGACCCATTCGGGACCCGGTGGGACCCTGGGTGACCCATTTGGGACCTATTCGGGACCCTGGGGGACCCGTTTGGGACCCTGGGGGACCCGTTTGGAACCCTGCAGGACCTAATCGGGACCCTGAAGGACCATTAGGGACCTGGTGGGGACCTCTAGGGACGCGGTGGGACCCCGCGAGGACCCATCCGGGACCTAGCAGGGACGCAAAAGGGACCAGCGTGTGACCTCCAGCGACCAATCGGGGACTTATCTCTGGGACCTGCCGAGACCTGCCTGGGACCTCCTGGCGTCCGTAAATGAGATTCGTGGTAACGTATAACACTTAATCGGATTTTTATTCGTAAAATAACGGACATTTTTCTGACCGTGTTGTTTTCAGAATGCTTCGCACAGATCGAAGGAGCATAAAATTTAGGGTGCATTAGACGCATTGACCTTCCCAAAACTCCCAATTTTACTTCGTACAAAAGAGAAAATCGCGGAAATGTTTATACAAAGATGGCGCCCCCGAGGTTTTTTCCTTAAGGGGAGGTTCTGGTGAAAATCTTGCCATTTTCCAAATGGATCCTACAGTCATAATTTGTTCCGAATATAAAATTTTTCATTGAGGAGACTAAAATTTGACTTTTGAAGGCACATGCCAGGCTGTAAACCCAGTCGAAGAGTCTTTTTGAGCCTATTTTGGCTGTATCTTAAAAAATCTCCTTGCGCATACTATTTTGTCGTAAAAGGATGACCTTGACATTTTTCACTTCTTCGACTCATTTTCAAAAGATTCCGGCATGCAGAGCTCAAAACTTCCATTACATTATTAGTTATTAGCTTTTTAAGCTGAAAAGTCCCTAAAATTTGTCTATTTTGTACATTTTTGATCAATTATAGTGAAATGCTTGGTTAGAAGGGAGTTCTCTTCAGACATAACTTTAGATCCACATAACCGTTTATCCACATTGTTTGACAGACATAACTGGCTACAGACATAACTGGTGTCAGACATAAAAGAGGATTATTGTGTTTAAAAACTGTAAACACACATAACTTTAAATACACATAACTTTATTCAGAAATAAACTTTTATTAAAAAATATATATAAAAATTGAATTAAATAGAGGAGAAATAGAAGAATAGAACTCAATTAAACTCAGTCAAAATTTCAATCATCATCAAAATTTCCTTCCTGCACAGTGGGCACGTGGCGCTCTCGTCCGCCCGGCCCGCTCAGGTGTTGCAGCAGATGCGATGCCCGCACGGCACTGCAGCGTGGTTTCTAGGGCCGTCAAAGCAGAGGCGGCACTGCTCATCTTGCCCCTCTGCCGAACCGGAAGCAGCTGCCCTTGCATCGGCATTCGCAGCCTGTTGAAGCGCGTGCTGCTGAGTCCGCCGTGCTGTTATTTCAGCTTCATCCATGAATCCTTCGGGCAGCTCTTGCTCTTCTTCATTTCCTTCACTACTCGATGAAGCGGACGGATCATTCCTAGCACCCCTGCCGCGACCACCCCTTCGGCGACCACCCCTTATGTCTGTCGAAAGTTATGTCTGTCAAAAGTTATGTCTGTCGACGGTTATGTCTTTCAAATATTATGCCTGTCAAATGTTATGTCTGTCAACAGTTATATGTATATGCGATTTCGTTATTTCTGTAAAATGATATGTCTGTAGCAATATAACTTTAATTTAAATAATAAATGCTTTTTTTTCAGAAATATCCCGTTATTTCTGTCACCAGTTATGCGGATTTACAGTTATGTGGGTCAAAAGTTATGTCTGTCAACAGCAACTCGGTTAGAAAGCTTGGGAATAAAATTGCAATTGACATTTTGAGATGTGCATGCCGGCATTTTTAGAAAATGAATCGAGAAGTGAAAAATGTCTAAGCCAACCTTTACGACAAAATAGTATGCGCAAGAAGATTTTTAAAGTTATGGCCTAAATGGGAGAAAAAGGCTCTGCGAATGGGTTTAGGGCATGGAATGTGCCTCCGCAATGAAAAATTTACATAAATACTTGATAAGACATCAATTTTTAACAAATTTTCACAGTGGGACCTATTTAGGAAAAATAGCGTTTTCACCAGAACCTCCCCTTAATTATTAGACTTATTGTATTTTTCGGTGTTTTCACTTTGATTTTTCGAGGGCTGAAGTAGCAGGTAAGGGATTGCCAATGAGTCTAATGCACCCTTTATGTGATGCTCTTTCGATATGTGCAAAGCGATTTGCAAACAATAGCCTAGTTTGAATAATCTCGAAGAAGTCCTTGACCCCTGCACGGAGCAGATCGGAGCGAGAGCTTCGCCTCACTGCCGCTTTAGGGTGTTACCGCCCCCTGTTTCAACGTGAAGTCACACTTGGAATGAGAGTGTTCGTTTTCTCGCGCCATTTCTTCGTTAGACATTTAGAGTGTAAAGTGTAACGTCGGCATGTCAGACAATGTGTGTCACCAGGCGGGACTAAAATTCCAATACAGTTGGATGAGCTTAAAATTACATAACCAATGGGACAAAAATATCCCATGACATTTAGTGTGTCAACGCATAGCAACATACGCGCTATGTTCATACCCTTTGGAGTCACAGTACATGCTTGGTAAGTGCACACCCTAATATACTTGACCAGGAGTAGTGTGTACTTAGCCGGCAAACATGCATCTTTAGGTGTGCACTTGAAAATATGCTCCTGAAGATGCATGCCGCGTGCACGATTCAGTTTGCACTCACTGAGAAAACAAATGCGGAGGATTCCGCACAATCTGATGCGGTGTAATTTTCTATCAATTTGACGCACTAACTGATGCGGAGAAGATTGACTTCATTTACTCCTGCGGTGTGTGCCAAACTGATGCGGTCTCAGTTTTGACCGCATTAGTTGAGGTGGATTTGAAGATCCCACGATATTTACAGCAGTGGCAACTTCCCTTCCAGTCCATCCTCAAAGAGGTTACGTTTACTTGGCCATCTCATTTACTTCTTGAACAATATTATTTGGGAAACCAGTACATACCTGTCATGTAGATGTTTGTAACGCTGAGATGAGCGTAAAGTTAACAGCTATATCAGCCTCATTAAGTAGTTTTTTTTAAAATAAAAACCAATGATTGAAACTGCATTTTTTTAGAGATGAATTGTCACACAATTTGAAAACACAATTCAAAATTCTTTTTATCTTTCAAGTCCTCGGCAGTCTTCGGTGAGAACAGCACTGAGGTTTCCAATGTTGTCCAGCCCAGGGCAAGGTTGAGGTTAACAGGATAATTCATAAATAAAGTTATTCATGAAATACACAAACGTCAAACTTTCAACAAACTTCATAGTCTGAAAAGTTGCGTTTTCGTCCTTTGTTCCTTACTGTATAGAAAGAAAAAGTTCCTGAAACGACGAAAACTTTAGGTTTAAAGTTTTAGAATATTTTGTAAGTTTACAAACACAGGATGGATACAAAATTTACTATAACTTCGTGGTGCAAGATTTAACAGCAAATTAATCGTATTAATTTCTGGCACAAAATAATCCCGAGCAGTGCTGTCACTCTAAGCAGCGAGTGACAACTGCAGAACCCGTGGAAAGGCTCTTACCAAACCAAAGAGATTCCAAACTCTATGAATGTAGTACGTGGTGCAATCAGGTTGCAAAGCACTGAGATATCGCACCATACGTGCAATGCCATGGCCATGTTGCATCTTACGTGCAATGCTTCCCGAATATGCCCTATGCTAATGCATGGGAATGGGAAGGCATTCTACTTCATGTGCAATGCATGCACTCTCAGAGCCATATTGACTTTTTGTTCATAGCAGCAGCAACATTTACGCATGTGAATTTTTTTACGCAACAATAATACTTAGAAATTTGTTCATATGCCACGAATAAAAAGTCCATGGTATATGTACAATTCCATAGACAATATTTTTAGTACATTACTAACAAATTTGTTGGTAAAATTGTTGATAAATTTGTTGATAAAAATTTACCAGACTAATCACTGACAAAACTTTTGTCGTTACTAAACGACACTTTTAATGCTAATTTTTTCAGCGACAAGATTTATTTTGGAGCGGATAGCTTGTGGGACCACTTGTTAGTCAGCGACAAGTATTGCAAGTCCATAAAAAATATGTAATGCCAGCGACAAATATTGATCATGTACGTAGAATTTTATTTGTATGTACTGACTTATTTATTAGTTACTACTGACTCCGTTTCTTTCTTACTATTGACAAATCTCTTAGTAGGCACTAACACATTAGTCCCAGAAGGCCTCCATACTTCTTTTAAATAACTAGTGACAGATTTGTTAGTAAGTAACATACAAAATGTCAATACATTACACATAGATTTTTATCAGTAAGAT